CATAAACGTCAACATGCGGGTTTGCATGATGAGCACGGGAGATTACTTCATAATAATATTGATTGGCATAGAGTTTTTTTCTGAGAAATTTCCCGTGAAAATTTATTCACAGGATGACTTGTTTTCTAGGCAGTGAACTTAGTGTACTTTTGAATGATGACTATTTTCCCCACTGTTAACAATGTGAGCTTATCATGAATATGTTTAATTAATACTGAGTTATTCAAATAAAGGTTCTGGTGTCTACATTGCATATTTTGTTGTGATGTTTTGTTGTACCATCATAAATGGTACATTTTGTGGAGCAGACTGCCTAATTTGATGTCATGAAATTACACACAAAATTAGAGCTCAGGTTGCACCAGCAAGCACCATTTTCAGCATGCTGTTCTTGTTTTCGGCGGACGACAGAGGGGACACCTCCCTCTCCTTCTCTCTTCCCCGTTGTGCTCGGTCACGGGAAAATGCTCTGCAGTTTCCAGACAAAGTTTACTAATACTTTTTTTTCTTGATTAGTAAATTTACTATTACCTAGCCAATTCCAGAGAGAGCCCAGAGGTCAAGTCGCTAATTAACCAATCGAAATACTGGATGGTGCCCACGTGTTCAAATTACCTTAGTTCATTTAAATATGTTAATGACAGGTCACCGACTTCATGGTGAACGAAACCCGGAAGCAATTTACCGATAATGTAGTGCAATCTTTTGGCTTTGATTTCCATGGGAAAACGACACGACTTTTTTTTTAAATCAAGAAATTAGTTGTTTTCGAAAGATAAACTGAGCATTGAAAAAGAATTTAACAGTTTTTCGGTGAGAACAGCTCATTGTTGAAAACTTGCGACACACGGACGTATTCATAAGGAGTATTGACAAAAGTTGTCACAAGACAAAAGCAGTTTGACATCCTAACACTACTGAACAATAAAGAGGTGTGAATATTTTTAGGCACGTTGTCGAAACAAATGAATAGGATTAGAAACAATGTACCAGCTCGTTGAAACAAAGTCGGTCACGGTCTTGTTGAATTGGGGGTGCGGTTAGTAATAGGTACTTTTCATGTTTTCAATTTTTGTTGAGAACTCTTTAACACTGAAGCCAAAATCGGGGGTGCGGTTACTATTAGGTATGCGGTTTATAATAGGATTTTAACGGTAAGTGTCTTTTAATAATAAAAACAAATATGGCTGCCACCAGAGTTTGACCGGACTCCACACATAGAAGTTTGCCGATTCTGTTTTGGGATTTCAGCATTCCCATGATGTATCTGCTGCGCATCGATCGATACTCCCGCTGTACTGTCTTCGTGCATACTTTGAGGTATTCTAGTAATAACCTCATATTATTAGTGGGTCACTATAACCCACACTGTATTTTATTTGTTTCCACTAGCAATCAAATTAGTAAGTAATTTTCTGCTTGATCAAGCTCCTACTACGTGGTCCTTTAAAGTGAATAGAGCAATTGAGGTCAAATACATCTGAATTGTAAACACTCTTTACCAATTCATCAAGTGGCAGTACCCCAACTCTCCAAAAAGTGTACTCACATTTTGCCCGTATCAGCTTTCCTGCAGCCATATACTTCACCGAATCCACCCCTTCCTATGATTCTATGTACACTGAAGTCATTCATTGTTAACTGTGAGACAGATTAAAAGAAAACTGTTATCAGAGTATCATCATAAAACATCACATGCTTGCTCTAATGTTTTTCAAATACAAAATGATACTCCTGATATTCCAAGATGGCCGACAGATGTATCAGAAAATGCAAATGAACACTATTAACGTATACCGTATTTGTCTTCAATTAGGCGCCACTTTGTTACACTTTCATGTCATGGTGGCGCTTATTTGTGGTTAAATTTGAGCAACTTTGTTTTAAATGGCGCTTATTTCAAGCACTTCAAGTTCTAGTACCGGTAACTGTGTTACAAGCCATTGTTTTTGCTTCATTCTGGTGATAGATTATTGACAATATTTTACATTACAGTCTGACGCTTAGTCACTGTAGCCTTTATTTTAAATACTGAGTAATGACCTTTTCAGACAGTTTAGAAAGTTATACAAAAATTATCATTCTTTAGAAAACATTCACAGTTTGCCGTACAATCAACAGAAAAATAAAACAAACACAAATTCAATGCTTAGTAGTCAATGATCACGGTAGCAAAATCCGGTCATGCTGCATTCCACGGTTACGATTATTACTCAGTAGTAGTTATAATAACGTACAAAAAATAAAATGCAAGTAAAATTCAACTTAATTTCATCGTAAGCGAATGATTCTGGTCGCATGTAAACGCTCGACGCGATTCGATGTCTGCCATGCTTCCTGTCTAGGACTTGACCTGGAACGCGTTTTTTGACCTGATAGGTTAAGTCGTTAATTAACCAATCAAAATGCTGGATGATGCCAACGTGATCAAATTACCATAGCTCATTTAAATAATGTATGAACGCAATGCGGAAGTGATTTGCCGATGTTTGCGATATTTTGGCTTTGATTTTGGTGGGAAAAACGGCATGATTTTTTTTTCAAATCAAGAAATTAGTTATTTTTGGAAAGTAAACTGAGCATTTAAAGAATAATTTAACACTGTTTACTGTGACAACAGCGCATTTGAAACAGAACATTTTCGCGTTGTTTTAATTTCGTTTATATGGACTTACTGCGAAATTAAAAACCACGCTGATATTTTCTACAGTAGACTAAAAAGACATGTTTCAAGAGACTATAGACCGATTTCTTAAAAATTGTTAGAAACAAAACCAATTTTTTTTACATAAAAGCCATTCGAACAGTAACAGCGAGGGACTTCCGCGATCGCGTCCATCGCTACGAACCGGTAACCGGTAGTCGATCCGCCGGCGCCCAATTCACGATCATTACGTGCCAAAATTTCAACTTTGTCTGGCGCTTAATTGAGGTGTAAAATACAAAGTTTTTGTGGCACTGGCGCCTAATTGAAGGTGGCGCTTAACTGAAGACAAATACGGTATTGGCAATTTTAATTTTTTATATAAATTTTGAAAAATGAAAATCATCATACAAATACTTACATTAATATTCAATTCTACATTTTTCCATTGACAAAACCTTGTAAATTTTTCACTGAAATTAGAATATTGAAACAAGAATCAGTTAATCTAAAGTTTTGATAAATCATAAAAATATGAATGAGTACCTGAAGTAACAAAAATTAGTTGAATTACATCACATTAATAATTATTAATAAAAAAAATCCAGACAAACACTCAATTTGACAGTGATTCTGAGATTATTCAGTTTTTGGTGTCACTAAGAATCGATCAGAATTCCGCCATGGATTTTATAGCAATCATTCTCTTCTTCATTGCACTGTTCAGCATTGTTTGTCACATCTTTCCTAATTAAGATTAGGAACATGCTTATTTTTTTGCAGAATTTAAAAAAAAAAATTTACCAAACTGGCCAGTGGCTAAAAATGATAGAAGCAATGAAATTGACAAACTGGCCATTGGCGAGAAATGGTGGGTCAATGAAATTGCCACAAACTGGCCAATGGCTAGAAATGAAGGGTCAATGAAATTGCCACAAACTGGCCAATGGCTGAAAATGGTGGGTCAATGAAATTGACACAAACTGGGCAATGGCTAAAAATAATGGGTCAATGAAATTGATACAAACTGACCAATGGTTGAAAATGATGGGCCAATGAAATTGATACAAACTGGCCAATGGTTGAAAATGATGGGTCAATGAAACTGACACAAACTGGCCTAGAAATGAGTCAAATTAATCAATGACTTTCATCAATTGTCAAGGAATACATTATCCTGCCTTTACTGGATCACAATAATTATTTCTAGGGGTGATGCATTGTTAGAAGAAAATTTAATATATTTTAGTGTTTGGGTGGTTGTATAATGAGTGGGTTTTTGTCAATGGCTGCATAGAGTTGAAAAGTTCAATTGATAAAAACACTGTAACTAGGTTTTTTTCTTTTCAATAAGGAACATCAACCAAAATAGGTCACTTTCATGACTTCTAAAGGTCACACATCCTGGTACTTTTAGTGGTATGAAAATCAAAAACAAATTTATTTTTAATCAGCATAATTTCCTAGACTTGACTATTATTTGACTACTGTTTCTGTTATGAATAAAAAGGTAAATTAAAATGTTCAATTTGTGTATGTTTGTGATGTGTACTAGGATTTATGACATTTAAAAGTGATGAAAGTGGCTATTAAGGATGTAGTAGACTTTCGTGGTGATTTTTTTTTTCTTTTATTAAATGGTGACTTATATCTATAGGCAGCCATACGACCTTGTTTTTTTTATTAAATCACGTTTTTATTTCAAGAAAAAATGTCTTTTTAAAAAATAAAAAATAATTTACAATTAACGGAAATCCCGTGGAATGTGCACTTCGGCTAAGCCCCTCTGAGCCAAAACAATAACATTTGTAATTAGCTTAATCCCGCAAATAAACATCGCGTGTACGCGTCCGGTCAAATGACCGGATACACTCACTCGTTGCTGATAGTTCATCGCATCGCTTTTCTCTACTATATATTATTGTTCATTTATTTTGTTTTGACCAAGTTTATTTTGAAAAAGGGCACAGGGAAAAAATTGGAAAAAGAGTGTTCCAATGACAGGCGAAACCTGCAAGTTTCTGAATAGCAGAAACCGTATTTGTTACTACGAA